ATCGCCCTCTTCGATGAGTCGCGTTATTTTCGACTTATCGAGATAGACCAGTTTCGGATAAAGACCAGCGGCAAGGGCCAGACGAACCATATTCAAATTCGTATTGAATTGATTGGCTGCCTTCAAGTCCCTGATCTTAAAGATGCGCTTCACGGTTGCACGAAGCGTGTGCACCGCGGAATCAAACAAATCCATCGATTTGCCGCATAGGCAGTTCCTCTCGCAGAACTTGTTGGCTTCGCCGACGCCCTTCTTCAAGGCGGCTTTATATTGGTGATACAGCTCCAATATGCCAATGGAGTCACTAAAGCCCTCAAAGCTGAAAAAGTCGCGCGGTTTACGCTGCTGATTGCGCGACGATCGATCGCTGGACAACGTGAATGGATTACGCACCGAATAATAGGCAGTTATGATTATCAAACTGTCGGTGCATTGATAATAGACACCGTAGACAAGACACTTGCCCAGCTGCACATCTAGCGGCAATTCGGATATGATGTAACCTAGCTCGGTGACACTCTCATCCGAGTCGAGGAGCACGTTCAGCAACTTTAGCTTGGCACACGACTGAGCAACGGCCACCGACTGCGGTGGATCCAGTGCCTGTGCCAGAAACTGTTGGATGTCCTGCGTGGGCATCGCAATTTTTGCCAGCAGGCAGACCTCGTCAAGCGTTTGCCGGATAATTTCCGGAATGGGGAAGCGATGGAATGATTCATACGTGTTATTGCTATACAGCCGATAGCAGATGCCATCACAACGGCGGCCGGCACGTCCCATGCGCTGTTGTGCATCCGCCTTGGATATCCAGACGCAGTCCAGTTGCGAGGCGCCCGTTGTCGGATTGTATGTCTTCATTTTGACCCGTCCAGTATCGATAACATAGAGCAGATCAGGAATGGTTATCGAAGTTTGGCCAATGTTCGTGCTCAGCACAATCTTGAGCTGCACATTCGGATACTCAGTGAAGACATCGTTCTGGCTACAGCTATCGACTTGGCTGTGCATCAGCAGAATTTTGATCACATTACTGGGCAGAGACTCGGACATTATGTCCATTAGCTTGGTCATGTCCTGATAGCCAGGTAGAAAGATAATCACGGCACCCTTCGATCCCCTCATCAGCAGCATCTGCACCAGCGATACGACCAGTGCGTTATCAATTATATCCCTGCTCATGTCTTGCGCTTTTCTTTCATAAGCATTTAATATATCAGTTGTCGTTGCATTATCCGCATTGTCCGCATTGGAACCCAGGCAGGAGAGCATCTCTCGCGTCATGTAACCGGATATTTTGAGTACATCTTCCAGGGCGAAAGTGCGCACATTGAAGCTGCGTCCCTCCACATCAATAATGGGCGCATTGCCAAAGTATTTGGAGAGCGCCTCCAGATCCATGGTGGCCGACATTAGTATCAATTTGAGCGACTTGTTGCGCTGTAGCTCCAGCTTGCTGGCTAGCAATAGAAAATCCGTATTCAGGTCGCGATCGTGCACCTCATCGATGACCAGATGGGTGGTGCTGGCAAAAAACTCCGCCCCATTCATGACCAGTGTACGCAACAGGCAGCCACTGGTGGTAAATGACAGCACTGTGTTATTGCTGTATTGGCCTGTGATGAGGTTGAGTTGAGCGAGATAAGTGACTACAATTGCGATTGTGAGGAATCAATACTCACTCTCCATGCGTATGATGTAGCCGACGGTGTCGCCGAGGCTCTCATTTCGCTCCTCGGCAATGCGCCCGGACACACTGATTGCTGCAATGCGACGCGGCTGGCTAACCACAATGCGGATCGGCTGATTCGTTGCGGTGGCATTCTCCAGCAAATATTGCGGCAATTGGGTGGATTTACCCGAGCCCGTCGCCCCATTCACGATGAGCACCTGCATGGCGAGAAGAAGAACAAGTGTTAGCTTGAAAAATCATCATTGGGCATCATTTTCAGCGGTCTGCCATTACCTGCGATGTTTCGAGTACCTGGAAGATTTTGCCACGCTTCATGAAGATGGGCAAATCGCGTCGCTCGGCGTCCAGGCGGGCACTTGTATCGCGTGGGCGAGGCGGTATACGGGGCATTCCCAGCAGCCCGCCGTATTGGAGCACCCGCCCATGACGCTGCTGGGGCTGCTGCATCGAAAGAGGGTCGCTTCGCAGCTCCAGATTTTTGACAGCGCAGTCTAGGATCGAGTTGGACTCGGTGGAGAAGAACAGAATGATTTGCTGGCGAAGCAACATGCTCGATGCGCTCTTGCTGCGACTGAGAGTTAAGATTCTGCTTCCGGCACTGCTTCGACTGCGCGTCCTCAATTCATGATGGCGGGCTAACAGATGAATCTCCTTGCGCTGCGAATCGCTGAAGCCACTGATTTCCTTTGTCTCCTCGTCACTCTTTAGAAAATCAAACACAATTTGCTGTAGCAGATTCAGCTCTTCAACGGAAATTTTCTTCGGCTCGGACATGTTGGATTTTTTTTATTGATTCTGACTTGGATGATTTGGGCTTCTTTGTCGCATTTGTCACTTCGACAGGAACACTTTTATTGCTCTTGTTCTTGCGACGATTTTTGACAGACTTCGATTTGCTGTTTGTCATCGTAATGTCACAGTGTTCAGTACTTTGAAATATCGCTCAATTTTGACTTTCCTCAAAACTCGAAACAAACCGTTTTTACCCACTGACGCCTGGGTCAACTGAATACTATAGCAGCCAGTTTGTGAATGACTGCACACGATTAATTCATATCGATTATTGGGCTCATTGCCTTCAAATATCGCAGACACAGCTGCGAGGGGAGAGCTTTCTGAAAGCTTAACATCAAATTGTGTGCACAATAAACCTGGCTAACAAGTAGAAGTGGCAACCGGCAGTCGTTGACAACAGGTTGAATGCACTTCAGTCCAGGCTACCATGCACCGGTTCGGCGGGTGGCTGGATAGCTGGCTGGCTTCATGCTAAACAGTTCAGGCCACTTACCACGTGCCACTTGCAGTTGTGGGTCAGCAACGGTTCCGGCCACGATGACAGAGACAGTTCCAGCGTACCTTGGACAGATTCAGTTCTCCTTCGACCAATAAATATATGATGATTCAAATGCCACACAGATATTTAGCTCATCTGAAAATATCTAAATATGGTGATGACTTTTTTTTTTCCATATATAAGCATAATTTTTTAATTTGGTTGTTGTTCATGCTCCAACCAATGCTCGAAACTATATGATATGGTTATCCGATCCGGCCAAGCTTTCGTCATTTATTCCACTGCGTACTGTACGGTATAGTCCAATTCTATATCTATCATATGTATTTATGTATATGACCCAAATATGGTTCCTTGCAGCCCACCTCAAAAGTGATGCCGAGCAGCCTACAGATGATGAACCAACTGACGAATAATGGCTATAGCTCATATCATATGTAGAGCAATACTTGTGGGTACTTGTGGAAACTTGTCTGCTACTTGCTCGTAATTGAAAGGTGGCTCCAAATACAACAATAACAATTACAATAACAAGAAAAAAAGAAATACAGACTGCTGAGACAAACAACAAATTAATTTCACTTTCTTTGATGCATTTGTTGTTTGCTGCAAATTGGATGTCTTGCCAATGCATAAGATCGAGCGAGAGCGAGACACAGCGAGAGAGGGAGAGAGATAGAAAGAGTGATAGCGGGAAAGAGAGAGATAGAGAGAGACACAACTACAGCTCAGGTTTATTGACTGTGCCCATGCGGCAACAATGTCTGCAACAAGTTTGCCTATGCAATTACGAACTATTGTTGTTGTTGTTGTTATCTCTTGCGCCTCAATGGGCTAAACTTGGCTTTGGTGGGGCGGGGCCCCAAGTCGATGCGAATAAACAACAGCAACTGTAACTGCAACAGCAACTGCAACGCAGCAGGTAAATTGCCACAATGCCAGGTGAAGCTGCATGCCTCGCTGCGCCGCGGGGTGACACTGACACCGACACCAACAGCGACAGCGACACTGCCACTGACACTGTAAAGGTACCAGCAACAGCATTCCACTTGTGGCACACATATTTTTACCTAGTCATTAAAGCGCTGCCACAATAACAGGCAAAGACCCAGAAGCAGTAAGAAAAAAAACGAGAAAATGTTGCTCTTTAAGCAATCGACAGCCAACATTTATTAAGTATAATTTGATACCATGCAATAATTACTTTTTTTTTTTGGTAATTTATGTGCCTCACTTTGTCGCCTCTTTTTGGTCACTGTACATCATAGCCTATGTGGTTTTCAATAAATATTTAGATTTGACTTTTTCAGTTACAATTACATTTATTTCTTAATTCTACGGGCTCAACTTGTATGCATGCAGCTTACTGCACAAAAACAATGACAACAACATAGTTTGAAACATTGGTTTGCTTTTTCTGTTAATACTGATGCTTAGATTCAGTCAAAACTCGACTTACTGGCTGATATCTGGGTCTTAAATGTTATTCAAAACTTGCTGACTTGCTGTTATCTGATTCTCTAATATTAGTCAACATGCGACTTGTTCGGATTTCACGAATAAAATACTTAGTTCTGAAACACAAATGTTGGTTATGATTTACGTGTTATATGTTTTTTTTACCCTTTCAAAGTGTGTTTTCATTTCATTATTCGTACAATCATGGACTCCATCCAGAATGTGCTCTCTAAATTCGTTACACACATCGTAAAAACAATTTTTTTTCTAAATGGAACATTACTTTTAATAAGTATCTTTTTAATGCATTGCTGGAATCAGCATCTTTATACAAATACTTAATAATTCCATTCCCTCATTTCACAATTGTTGTCAGCTAAGGAAAAATTATTATGTGATTATCTTTTCAAACACACGTTGTCTTTGCAAGTCTTAGGCTACCAAGGTCCGTATCGGCGTTGTATACCAATTTCACATATACAATGAACAATTTTCATATAGTGTATATAGTTTAAAAAAATAAATAAAATAATAATTTAATAAAAAAAGAATCAGGATTAGAACTAGGGTGCTAAAAATAATTTCACTTTTAATTGTTTTCAGACTTACGAGGACTCCATACGAAGTAGTTACATATCCCACATGCATGCAAATTTCGCAAACATTATTCAAATATGTATAATGTAAAAGAAAAGCAGTTCCGCTAAAACACTCACTTCACCTTGACTCGCTAAATATTTATATTTAAGTGTATAACCAAATATATATATTCACTAGCACACCCTGTAACCAGTATTAACCTATGCCAAGTACGCATTATACATATAGATATATAAAATGTGTATGTTTGTGTGTTGTGTAAAGTTGAAATGTATTTCGCATGCCTCATTCTTATCTTCAGGCTGTCGTATTTGTTAAGATCAGTTTATTCGTACAGACCAATATGCCCATTTTGAATGGATAAATGGAGTATATGATAAATGCACAGAGCATATGTAAATAATAAATAATATTGATGAGTTCATGCGACATTGATTAAAATACCAGATCGTTGTCCGACAGGCCTGAGTATTCAAAATCGAGTTTCAATAGCTTCTGCACATAGCTAACCGATGGACACCAAGCTGTGTCCACAATGCGTCTGCCAACCAACTTGGCGAACTCCCTGTCAATGTTGCTGCGTAGCTGAAGCAATTTTTTTCCCGATTCGGTGTCCAGTTGGATGCGCAACTTGGAGTCGAGTATGAGATGCGACTGCTCGACATAGTCGCCGTCAATATCTTCGGGAAATGTGGTCTCGATGCTCTCCAATTTGATAACCTTGCCGCACTGCAGAGCGACCATAAGTGTGCTTACCAGGGTCGCGTGCTCAATGTTTGACGAGAGGCCGGCCGTGCCCGACTTCTCCACGTAGATGATCCATTCGCTCTTGTACTTCTTGGAGGAGCAGATGCTCAGACAGGAGTTCCTAGACAACTGAACGCGTGGATCGCCCTCTTCGATGAGTCGCGTTGTTTTCGACTTATCGAGATAGACCAGTTTCGGATAAAGACCAGCGGCAAGGGCCAGACGAACCATATTCAAATTCGTATTGAATTGATTGGCTGCCTTCAAGTCCCTGATCTTAAAGATGCGCTTCACGGTTGCACGAAGCGTGTGCACCGCGGAATCAAACAAATCCATCGATTTGCCGCATAGGCAGTTCCTCTCGCAGAACTTGTTGGCTTCGCCGACGCCCTTCTTCAAGGCGGCTTTATATTGGTGATACAGCTCCAATATGCCAATGGAGTCACTAAAGCCCTCAAAGCTGAAAAAGTCGCGCGCTTTACGCTGCTGATTGCGCGACGATCGATCGCTGGACAACGTGAATGGATTACGCACCGAGTAATAGGCAGTTATGATTATCAAACTGTCGGTGCATTGATAATAGACACCGTAGACAAGACACTTGCCCAGCTGCACATCTAGCGGCAATTCGGATATGATGTAACCTAGCTCGGTGACACTCTCATCCGAGTCGAGGAGCACGTTCAGCAACTTTAGCTTGGCACACGACTGAGCAACGGCCACCGACTGCGGTGGATCCAGTGCCTGTGCCAGAAACTGTTGGATGTCCTGCGTGGGCATCGCAATTTTTGCCAGCAGGCAGACCTCGTCAAGCGTTTGCCGGATAATTTCCGGAATGGGGAAGCGATGGAATGATTCATACGTGTTATTGCTATACAGCCGATAGCAGATGCCATCACAACGGCGGCCGGCACGTCCCATGCGCTGTTGTGCATCCGCCTTGGATATCCAGACGCAGTCCAGTTGCGAGGCGCCCGTTGTCGGATTGTATGTCTTCATTTTGACCCGTCCAGTATCGATAACATAGAGCAGATCAGGAATGGTTATCGAAGTTTGGCCAATGTTCGTGCTCAGCACAATCTTGAGCTGCACATTCGGATACTCAGTGAAGACATCGTTCTGGCTACAGCTATCGACTTGGCTGTGCATCAGCAGAATTCTGATCATATTACTGGGCAGAGACTCGGACATTATGTTCATTAGCTTGATCATGTCCTGATAGCCAGGTAGATAGATAATCACGGCACCCTTCGATCCCCTCATCAGCAGCATCTGCACCAGCGATACGACCAGTGCGTTATCAATTATATCCCTGCTCATGTCTTGCGCTTTTCTTTCATAAGCATTTAATATATCAGTTGTCGTTGCATTATCCGCATTGTCCGCATTGGAACCCAGGCAGGAGAGCATCTCTCGCGTCATGTAACCGGATATTTTGAGTACATCTTCCAGGGCGAAAGTGCGCACATTGAAGCTGCGTCCCTCCACATCAATAATGGGCGCATTGCCAAAGTATTTGGAGAGCGCCTCCAGATCCATGGTGGCCGACATTAGGATCAATTTGAGCGACTTGTTGCGCTGTAGCTCCAGCTTGCTGGCTAGCAATAGAAAATCCGTATTCAGGTCGCGATCGTGCACCTCATCGATGACCAGATGGGTGGTGCTGGCAAAAAACTCCGGCCCATTCATGGCCAGTGTACGCAACAGGCAGCCACTGGTGGTAAATGACAGCACTGTGTTATTGCTGTATTGGCCTGTGATGAGGTTGAGTTGAGCGAGATAAGTGACTACAATTGCGATTGTGAGGAATCAATACTCACTCTCCATGCGTATGATGTAGCCGACGGTGTCGCCGAGGCTCTCATTTCGCTCCTCGGCAATGCGCCCGGACACACTGATTGCTGCAATGCGACGCGGCTGGCTAACCACAATGCGGATCGGCTGATTCGTTGCGGTGGCATTCTCCAGCAAATATTGCGGCAATTGGGTGGATTTACCCGAGCCCGTCGCCCCATTCACGATGAGCACCTGCATGGCGAGAAGAAGAACAAGTGTTAGCTTGAAAAATCATCATTGGGCATCATTTTCAGCGGTCTGCATTTACCTGCGATGTTTCGAGTACCTGGAAGATTTTGCCACGCTTCATGAAGATGGGCAAATCGCGTCGCTCGGCGTCCAGGCGGGCACTTGTATCGCGTGGGCGAGGCGGTATACGGGGCATTCCCAGCAGCCCGCCGTATTGGAGCACCCGCCCATGACGCTGCTGGGGCTGCTGCTTCGCCAGAGGGTGGCTTCGCAGCTCCAGATTTTTGACAGCGCAGTCTAGGATCGAGTTGGACTCGGTGGAGAAGAACAGAATGATTTGCTGGCGAAGCAACATGCTCGATGCGCTCTTGCTGCGACTGAGAGTTAAGATTCTGCTTCCGGCACTGCTTCGACTGCGCGTCCTCAATCCGTGATGGCGGGCTAACAGATGAATCTCCTTGCGCTGCGAATCGCTGAAGCCACTGATTTCCTTTGTCTCCTCGTCACTCTTTAGAAAATCAAACACAATTTGCTGTAGCAGATTCAGCTCTTCAACGGAAATTTTTTTCGGCTCGGACTTGTTGGATTTTTTTATTGATTCTGATTTGGATGATTTGGGCTTCTGTGTCGCATTTGTCACTTCGACAGGAACAATTTTATTGCTCTTGTTCTTGCGACGATTTTTGACAGGCTTTAATTTACTGTTTGTCATCGTAATGTCACAGTGTTCAGTACTTTAAAATATTGTTCAATTATGACTTTCCTCAAAACACGAAGCGAATTGTTTTTACCCACTGACGCCTGGGTCAACTGAATACTATAGCAGCCAGTTTGTGAATGACTGCACACGATTAATTCATATCGATTATTGGGCTCAATGCCTTCAAATATCGCAGACACAGCTGCGAGGGGAGAGCTTTCTGAAAGCTTAACATCAAATTGTGTAATTAATAATTTGTGGTAACGATTAATGATAACGCCATGGGCTTCCATAATTAACTAATCAGTTTATGTACGATTTTTTGAATAATATTTAGGTAGACAAAAAAACTGCAATTATTTCTCTTAGTAAGGGCTTTCCATCTTACCAATTTAAATTAAACAGCCGTTGACCTTGCAAATTTTCATATATTTAAAAAAAAATTTTTATTTTACTAGGTGGTACAATTTTCTGAATTTGCTATTCCTGATTAATTTCTTAATTAATCTTTTGTCTTAACATTTTGTTGCTCTTCATCGCTGCTTTCCTCATCGTAATCAGCCCCTGAATCATCGCCATCTTCATCGTCGTCATCGTCATCGTCTTCATAATCATCGTCCTCTTCGGCGAGATTCAGCTGCTTGATTTTCTCAAGCAGCTGTTCTCGCGTGTGTCTGACACGCGTCGCCTTCTCCCGCGCCTTCCGTTCCTCTTCCTCCTCCTCCTCCCGCAGCTCGTGAGGATCTTCCGTCTCCTGTTTACGCCCCTTGGCCATGAATCTGAGGAAAGCGCGTCGCTTGCGCTCCGAGAAGGATTTGATCAGACGATCCATTTCGACCTGCAGTTTTTGCTCCTCCTGCGGCGTTGGCTCTGCTGCCTCAATGTCCACCTGGTCGGCGCTCCGCAGGCACTTGGCGCACACGTGATCCTTGAGAGCGCAGTCGCGACAGATGACATGGTAGGCCTTGCGCACGGTGCGCTGCTGGCAGCGTGCGCACGTCTTGGCTTGCGTGAGGGGCTTGTATTTCTTGTACTTGATCTTCCACTCGATGACCTCCTTGCACCGCTGGCACACAGTCGACACGTGCATCTTATTGAGCCGCATCTGTTGAGGCGTCTTGTCGTGCAAATCATTCTTGAACACATGGCGATTTTTGTGCTTTTGGGCTCGGGTGCGAGTCGCGTTCCCCCGCTGTGAACTCATCTTTCTGTTTGTGATCAAGATGAATGGGGAAACATCTTACAAAATAATGATATCTCATTTCTTACCCAAATTGTATTTCTTATAAACAATTATGAACAATGTTTATTGCTGCTGCGTAGTGTTATCGATAATATTAAAGAAACAAGATGCGTTTTTCTTCGTTTAGGCTGCCTGCTATGAGAGCACGATAGAGACTGCCATCTATAAAGAATGTTCTCATTTGCTTTCAGAACAGCTGCTCTGACAGCCAAATTGAATTTGACGCTGTTTGTATTGAATTTATTGCGATTTTACTGGAAATTGCAGCAATTAAAACATTTCGTGAATGCGATGAATTGCGACTGCCTGGTCACACCGAATGATTGCTGATTGCCATAATATACATGACAAAAAGCTGCTTGGCATCAGCTTTTGTTGACTATCGGTTAGTGCCATGCGCGATTTAAATTTTAAATGTAAATTTTGTATATCATTTTTGATTCACCGACTATTATTAATTCTTTCTTTTTTTTATTATTGCAGACGTTTGGCAGCTGGGTAACGCGCTCATGCAGTCGCAATGCGCGACCTCAAGCAGCGCCTCTTTGATCTTTTGCGCTCTGGCGGTATATCCGTAGGCGACAACAACAATAACAGTAACAATAATAATAATAACAATGGTGTGCCACAATCGCCAACGCTGCAGCAGCAGCAGCAGCCGCATCAGCTGATGTACTCACCTCTTCATCCCAAGCCAAAACCGAAGAAACTCCACGAATATACTGCAGCCGATTGCAATGCGGCATTTTTGCGTAAATACCATGATCTGAGCATTAGCCGAGAGCTGGAGCGGGAACGCGATAGAGATAGAGAAAGGGATAGGGACAGGGATGGACTTGGGCTTGGGCTTGGGGAGCACGAGCTGGAGCTGGAGCCGAATGGCGCCGCCAGTGTGATTTATTTCAATGAGAATCTATCGATGACCAGCAAGTACAATGTGCACCAAGTGCCCCTCGGACTCAGCCGCTATCCTTCCTGTCCGCTAAGCGGATTCGGCATGGCACCGCAGCGGGCAGCAGATGGGAGCGCGGGCAGTAGCCTCGCCGAGGATACGGAGAGTGATCCGTATAATTTTGGTTCGGATGAGGATCGGAGTAGCAATGCGCATACGCTCAAGTTGCGCTGTCACCAGCTGCACATGGATACCGATGCGGAAGTGGACTTGGATGCGGATGTTGATGTCGAAGCGGATGTTGATATGGAAGCTGAACTGGATGATGACGAACTGGATGATGATGACGATGATCAGGCCGAATCGCAGCTGGACTCATTCTGCACTCTGTGCACCTCGACGTTTAGCTACAACAAATGTTGCCGCTTCTGCGACAACTCAATGTGCGGCTCCAAGTGCAACTCGGAGCGCAGCTCGCATGCGAGTCGCCTCAGCTGCAACAATCGCACCCTCGATGCCGAGCTCGACTTTGGCGCCCAGCTGCTGCACCAGCTGCCCCACAACCACCACCATCATCAGCATCAGCGTTTTGGGGGTAACATGAAACTCATTGCGCAGTCTTCGCCACAGCAGCCAGTTGCTGCAACAGCAGCTGCCATCAGGTATGTATAAATAAATATGAAATATTGACGATTTAATTATTATATCTACGATGATCTCCCTTTCAGGATAAGCCAACTAATTTATGTATATATAAAGTTTACAACGAACTGAACTAAATTAAAAGTTTTACACTCACCAGGTAGATTGTGGTCCAAGTTTGAAGGTTTTTATGATCGAAAGTGAAACTTCTTCGCATCTTCAAATTTGTTGTTCTAATCGAATGAACTTTCTAGGGTATTCTACTAAATTCGGTAACTTCACTCTTGTTGACTCAAAACGATCACTTATAACACAATACAATTATTGGTTGCTGATGAAGTTTTTTTTTTAATCCTTGGCCCTGTAGTGATGTCATTGGCTGTCATTGAATATTCTTTGATAGCTCAGTTAAGATATTATTATAATAAATATATTAAAATTCTACCTTATGCAAAAAATTCCAGTTTTCTTAATTTTATGCAGCTCACACATATGTATCTTAAGAAACAATGTCGCCACACTTACCAATTAATATATTGTATTTGGGAGATGATATTACAATTTTTTTTTTTATTTTTTTTTTTAATTTACAAGGGATTGTCCTCACATCAATTCTATTGTTGCTAAAATAAGGAAAACTTTCTACAATCAGAATCAGAATGTTTCTATCCGATGTATAGGAATCATTAATTCAACTTGAGAATATTATTAAATTTACTTCAATGTAAATATATTATTTTTATAATAATCATCATCGTTATTTCTATGATCGGTAATGCGGCCGTTAATGAAGTGTTTTCAAATTTCGAATCAATTCAAATTCAAATGAAAACAAACTCAATTCTATGCTTCATAAACTGAACTGATTTATATCCATCATACATTTATTTAGCATACACTTACACTCTGTGCTGGACTTACATTCTTACATAGTGGGAGCATATATTTAAGCGTTTGTATAGAGATATGTGTGTATACCAGTCTTATACATATCTACTGATGTGCACACATGTAAATACCCGTTTATGGAAGTGTGTGTGTATGCATGTGTAGTCGAAGAAACGTAAATACCGTTAGGCAGAGAGCTTAACAAAAGCAGCTAGCTAGAAGCCCATGACGCGCTAGCGGTCATAAAAAGCATTAAAAAACATAAACTCGATTGAATAAAATTAAGTTAACAAGTAAAAGTGCTGGAGTCGAGAGGGTTACTAGCACATACCCTGCAATATATGTACATATTTGCTCTAGTCTTGTTTGTATATTATAGAATTAGCCAAAAGGAAATGCTTTCCATCCAAAAAGAATCGGATTTAATCAATCTAATTTTGGAAAATTAGCAGAGATCATCAGTTGAATACCTACCAATCGTATATGTTTTCTTGAAATACGCGCATAATTAAATAGACTACACGGTATAGTCAAGTCAAGATAAGAAACCGAAAATTACAAAAAATAATAATAAAAAAACAAAGCAAGCGAGTGCAAGCGGGCAAGAAAGAGCCCCCCTGCAACAGTGTGCAAAAATCGAGTAAGCGCCTCACTCACACACACACACACAACCACAAAATAACCATACAAATAACTCCGAAGTAAACAAACAAGCAAGAGCTTTTGAGCTTTCTCGCTTGCCGCTTCTGCGTATGCGTTTCAAGCGCTTTTTAACGCAGCCAGCGATAACTGCGACTCCGGCTGCGACGGCGACGGCGACAGTGACAGCGGCTCTTACATTTCTTTGGCGACCGGTGGCCAAAGTCGGAGTTTGAGACTCGCAGACCGCAGACTGAAAGAGCCGCGAATCAAACAAGCGTCGACCATTGTTCGCATAGCACGTGCCGCGCTCTCCTCTTTTATCTGCGCCATTCTCGCCAGAAACAGCAAAAGCAACAGCAACAGCAACAAAAACAATAACTAACGCGAATTAACCGTTGCTTCAAAATGTTGCATCAATTGTTGTGTTAGGCGTGCATACATACATATATACATACTCATACAACTTGTTATTGTTATTATTTATTTATTTTATTTTTTTTGCGAAACTTGCGGATCACCATCACCATCGATATCGATTCGATATACATACATACATATATATATATGTGTTGTAACCATACATACATAATGTACATCCAAACATATACATAAGTGCGTGTGCATGTTCGTGTTCCGTGTGCGTGAGCGTGTGTGTGTGTGTGTGTGTGTGTTGCCACTGTGCGTCTGCAAAGAGCTGCATGGATAACAAAATCGAAATATTGAGTAAGCTTTAACTTAATAATACAAATTCACAAGTGAATATTTCATGTTTTGTAAATGAAAGTGAAATAAAACTAAAATTATTAAACATTAATGTGTGCTTCACATGATCTATTGACAGATCATCTCGCATTCAGCTGTTGATTTTCCAATGTTATGTTATGCTCCGAATTCTTGTTCTTTTTTAATTTTCCACTTCTTTGGGAAGGCAGCGATTTCTAAACATATTTAGACCATATGTAAGCCACATCAAGTTATACAACTCTTCACAGAAGTTGATTGGGCCACTGACTGCGATAATTGCACTCACTGTAAACGAGAGCTGCGGCTTATAATAAGCAATTTACATTTATTAGCTATAATAAAGAATTTCATTGTACTGAAGAAGCTCATTTAACTCTCCTTTCTACAATATGCTATATACTAAGCTGTATTCTGTTTTACTATACAACATATTACATACTATATTTAACACGACAATTTAGTGCTTTAGGCAAATTTTGTACTCATATTGTGATAAATAGCTACAGAAATGCTATAGAATATCGTAGTACTACACACCTGAGCAATAAAACAAATATGAACGCTTTTTTTTCTATAGCTCATAGTTTTCATATACTTTTCTCTTTTTAACGTAAACATATTAGATCATCAAACAGAAAATGTTTCAACAAAACACTTAAAAATAAGAATATTCATAAATATGTCAAGTTTTGGGTGGTCAGCCTTATTGGACGATATCATCGCGCCGCAAGTTTCGACATTGCTATTTGTTGCAAGCTTTCTGCGACGTTTCTTAGAAATGTGCTTTGCGCCTTCTCGCTCTAATGGGACTCAAATCTGGAGAGTGACTTGGCCAACATTATTGTCTTGAAACCATTCCCTCGTTGTCATGTTGAAATTTCCATATAAGTCGATCGATCTACTTCCATGTCTATATCGATATATAAATTTTCATATACGTCTATATCTATATCTATATCTATATCTATATCTATATCTCTATCGATATCCATGCACCGAGAAGCGCATTAAATTGTATTTTGTTTCGGTGTTGCTCACGCTTGTTGCCCCACACCACATGCCAGCAGTGTACAGCTCCGCACACCACTTACCACGCAGCACCATCCACTATCTGCGAGCTGCCACCTGCCACAAGCCACTTGCCACGCTGTCTAATCTTAAGAGTGGGCTGGCGATTATTGCCTTAGACTTAGACGTTACTTTAATTATTTTTCTTTGCATTTCTGTTTCATTGTCTTGTTTGCTGGTTTTGTTTTTCTTTTTGTTTATGTTGCAGCTATTGCCACATTTTAAGTTGCCC